TCATGGCAATGTTTTGAAATGCACATCTTCAACACAAATTGCCAAATTGCAACATAGGACACCATTGCTTATAGCACAAACGGTAAATTTATCTCAATTCCACTGATACTCTCACTTTCAGAAAGATCAATTGGTATAACATGTCTTTTCACACCCATCACATTGTACAATGTATTCAGGCCCATTACTAGTAATGGCAGATAAAGTTCCCGAAAGTCCAGTATCCACATGGATTTATAACAGAGTAACTCATTGTATAAACTGCTATAGCACAGCACTGTTTACAAGAACATTGATATAGACTATTAACATTTGATAAATGTACTACGGTATTCAAGAATTCTTGAACAAAGATCAGCTTCAAAGTTGGCAATGCGTACACCTTTAAGCTCGTATAAATTATGTCCTCATTCCTACATGAATATGGACACTGAAAATATTGTACTAATTTATGAATGAATGGTATTTCCAACAATACACATGTACCTTGACTATGACTGTTACCATACATATCTCTAGCATCAGAATCAACTCCAATAATCCCCACAGTTAAAAAGAATGAGTTTTAGTTCAGAACCAAGAGTGTTTCAAGTGGCATACAGTAGTGATACCCCTCAATTCTGGCATCACCGTGCATGTTACAAGTATAACTTTCACTGTATTCAAGCTGGAAAAATCGCTCAAACACTGTAACCATTTCTGGCAAGTCTGTTAACATTAACATAGATTGTCTTGCAAGCAATGACAGATAAGAATATAATTGGTTACCAACAGTCATTATTTGAATCAGTATCATCGACTAAAGTAATCATTCTTATCTTACTATAAAGTCTTATAAATTAAAGCGCACAAACTAATTGCAACACATTGTTGTCCTGCATTTTCCCCAAATACTACAACGTTTCCTTGACAGAATGGAGCATGAATCGATTTTGTACCATGATCTAAATAAACTGAAGGTCCTGGATTCTTCTCGATATCAGTAGAAAGCTTAAATTAGCCAAAATTAACCCGGTGAATCAAGCTCTTGCAAGCACTATAAAATGGATAGTTGTATGTACAGAGGGACAAATACTTACTTAAAACCCTATTTAGATACCTCACCCCCACCTAAATAGTCTCTTCTTTTATGCTAATACGACAGATAAACCTTTCCTTGTTTTCGAACTTATTTTGGACTTGCCCTTAGTAAAGACCCCACACTCTTACAGTTACTTCTGTATTGGTTTAAGTATAAACCATTTCTATTTTAGACGACAATGAAATGACAAAAGCGCAATTCATCAGAACAAGCAGCATTTTGGCACTAGGTAAATGTCGTGTGTTGCCTACCGACCCCATATGCGAGGTAGTAACTGGAACAGCAGTGATTTTCCATCTAGCCGGTCGGCAAGACCGCGCGTATGTCTCTCCTTTGAATATAATTTACAATGCCCTCTCTTAGTTCCGCACTTATTTCCTCCACACCATCGAATGTTCCATTGACTTCGGCTTTGCCTTATCTAAATCCTCCGTACATACAGGCATCTGATATTTCCAATGCTAAACGAACGTGATCTGTTCTTGGATTGTTTTGATTTGATCTTTGTCACCTTCAAACCACCCGCGTGCCGATCACGCGCCTATTGTGATTGTAATCCAATCAGAGCGTTTGAAACATTCGATATCTCTAGGGAACCAATCAGCAGAACATCTAGATTCTGGATGTTTTGGTATAAGCGGGGTTGTAATTGGCTCGGCGCTATCAAAGGGATAGAGCTCTGGTCCAGACGCTTTTCGCGCGGGTCGCTTTTTAAGACTTGACCGAAACCGGAAACCGCGCATGAAAAGCCTTTGGCACCCAGGGTAGGTTGTTTACCATTTATAAAAAAATTCCGGGAAATTTTGGTTGGGAATTTTCGGTCGGTAAGAACGGTACGTGCCGTTACCATTTGCCTAAAATTACCGGACTGTCGCGCCGCGCTAGACTGGATTCTAGTTACAACATGAAACTAGTACGAAACTCAAGAAACTTGTAAATGGTAAACCAATTTCCGTTTGGGACGTCCAAATCGGGAAAACGGGACTACCTTTTCAGAATTTCCGTTTGTCCCGGGAATTTTCCCGCGGAACGAACCAAAAAAACGTTTACCATTTACATCCCAACCGGAATTTCCGGGAATTCGTTGTAAATGGTAAACAACCGATATCATCGGGTTACTACCATCCTTGAAGCACGGCAAATTCTGCGCGTAGTTTAACCCAGTTTCAACTTGTCAGTTTTGGCCAATGAAACGTTTTCGGTTAGTCTCTGTCGTGCAATTGACAACGTTTTTGGCGCCGTACGAACATGTTTTGATCACGTACTGACTAAGTTTTCAGGTTTTTCGTGGAAGCCTATTCTATTGCATGTGTCAACATGGTGATGCGACGTCAAGTTCAAATTGGAGATACTAACAGAGTTTTTTTATGAATCCGCCCGGGAGTGTTGACGATATAAAAAAACTACATTTTGCGTGAGATTCCGCAGATACGTTTTACGGAATTTTATTTACTTTACAAAAACGATGAAGGAGAATATGCAGTGTTGAATGACGTTCGCATGGCAGACATTCGCCTCGCCTCGCTCGTTTACTTGCCTTGTTTACGTTAGCACGTATTGCGTGCCTATTTCACTTTTGCGTCAAAACAGGCCGTTTCGATTACTCTATTTCTCTTGGGCCAAGCCCAAATAATAATGTATTTCGGTCGCTGATTTTAATAAAAAGAGTCTTTCTCAAATCATTATATTGATCACAGTGAAATAATATGTGCATGCAGTTCATTTTCAACCGAATTTAGGTTGCTCTTATCACAGATTCTAAGGTCTTCAGGAGTTTTCGGAATTGTAAATCTTTCAGTTTCTATTTTTAAATAATGATTTCCTATCCCAAATTTGGAAGCTACACGCCTATGTTCCGTATTCCGGATAAAATTGATAAATTCAGAGTAATTTGTTTCATTTTTGCAACTTTTGCGAAATCACTCCCTGTTGTATATCGATGTTTCCATTGCGAGTCCGTGTGACTCATTATCTCGGTTTACGGTTCATTTTCCCAACGACGCAAACATAGTAAAGTATCTACTTGTTGTCACTTTCAACAAGTGTGGCATGAAATGAAAGGCATTTTATTGCCCATTCTTCCTCTATGTAGCCCCATATTTAGAGCCTTTTAGTTAGGTAATCAGTCTCAGATAACGTATTTTTGAAAAGATATGCAACTTCAGGTCGCGAAGCTACAAACTTCGTGCTGTAGTAATTTGCGTAACATTTATAGCTACATTTAGCAACATTTCATGTTAGCGTGAACATATATACACGATATTGGCGGAACATGACAATTGCTCAAATCGATATTCCCAATAGATCGGTTGCAGTAAAAAAGGTACTACATGAATATCAATACACATGTTGTGCGTTTAGAAAAAGTTGATATATTTGTAAGACAAATAAGAGCTTATAGGAAATAGCTTAGCCTTCCTTAATCTTTGCGGCTATTATGCTGTATGATGTCCTATGCCAAAAGAGGATCACTTTAGCTTTGTAACACTGCAAAACGCACGAGCAGGATTTATATATGGATGTTTTTTGGCTGGGCGTTGCTGATCTAGCGAGCTGCTAAAACGTCATGGAAAAGTTCACATAGCAAGTGTGATCCTAATTGTTGTATTTCTCAGAACCAGGGGCCCATAACCCGGAGCGTTCAACTGCCATAAATTCGTGCAACGGCGTTTTTGCAAGTGAGTTTATTTTTAGATAAGTTTTTCCCACGAAAAATAACTGTTCCACGAGGTCAGTTCCTCCGTTTGATCATCGTTTAGACTGTTAGTAGCTCGCTTGGACCTTTTCACAGTCGGCTATTTCGAAGATGATTTCGATTTAATTCCCTTTGCGTGAATTATGCGTTGTCGCCGATGAAGTAGACGTCCTGGCTAGGTTTTGCAAATCTTGCTCTGAACTGCTAGTTTCCGTGTAAATACTGAAATTGTCGCTTAAAGTACTGTCAGAAGACTCCTCTGAAGAGTTTTCAATGTGAAGGAGTTGTCCTAGTTACGTATTAAAAGTTTATCGTTGAGGACGCAATTGCTAGTGATTGGCTTTTCGAAAGCAGTTCGCGGGAAAGGCTTATCTAAAAATAGACCTACTTGTGAAAACGCCGTTGCATAGGCGCAGTATGGAAGTTAGACTTAGCCTCGTTCCCAGATCAGAGGAATCCTCAAGGACAGAGCCCTGGAAACAAGGTTGAGTTGACGCTCTTGCCCTAGAATTCTGAAAGCCCGTTTGAACTCTTAACTAAACTTGGATGACTGGGACCACTTTTGCGAATTATCAGCGCATGATGGTTTCCTTGTTTTATGAATTAATCATCTCTAGTCTTGATCAAAGTTACACGTAACATAAGGGTTGAAAATTAACAACCCAGGCTTTATTTACCCTTATTTTGCGCTATCACCCCCTTATTTACCCAAGGTGCGGCCCTGACACTTAGTTAGCAACTACGTAGCGTTATTTCAGGGTAATCTGGAAAAGCAAGAATCCGGAGCACCGAAAATACTGCAAAGAGTTTCCGAAGATTGCCGAAGTCTCACGACGATCCTCGAAACACAAACGACTGAGATCATCGACTGCCCGAGATCATCTAAGGGGCCTCTTTCTTTTGTAGGGTAGGCATTTTAGGTTTCTATTATTATAAACAGGTTCACAATACTGGACACGCATGGCAGGACATGCAAGGTTTTCAAGAATTTGTGTGATTATTTTGTTTATTTTTTTTTCAATTAATGTTTTAGTACGTTGCACGAAATTTTTCTATGGGGGTTTCACCCCAGTCCCCCGATTTTTTCTGATGCGAGGAGGGCGTCTGTACACAAGTAAAAATTACAGGAAAAGTTTTTCAGTGTCTGGAAAGTCACTTTGTTAGATGAAAAACACTGGCCAGGGATTATTTACATCCCTTAGGAACTACAGCATCGTTCTAGTGCAAATATTTCACACCGCACGGTCACTCTAAAAAAACTTATAAAGGCAAAATAGCACGACAAGTTACAAATCTTTTCAAAATAGCATGACTTGGTTCCTCTTTTAGCAAACTGGGCGTGAGTCAAACCAAGTTTAAAGATTCTCAAGGTATACTATATTACGCATCAGATAATAACTACATCAGTATCGTTGTCTGGCTATTATTCTACGCACTGACAATTATAAAAACTAGAAGTTAAACCTTTTTTTAGAATGAGTTTGTTCATTTACAGAAAGACAGAGTATGATGAGTATAGTGGATTAAGAAAATAGCAGTACAGGTTGCTCGTGACGAAAAAAAAAATCGAATGGTTTGACCAGCCTCGTTCCCAGGATTGTGTCCTACTCGTTCGTGACGGGAGAGAACCCTGGGAACGAGGTTGAGTTTTAAGTAATGATCCAGGTAAGAAGGGAAGCAATTTCTTTTGTTGTGGCGCAATACGCTTTCCTCACATAGAAATGTTTTCATTTTTACGCAGAGAATGCATAAATCTACAAAAAGGCTGTTTACGAAAGAAAATGTATTTAAACTCCACTTTTAAAGGGTGTATTTTTGTGTTAAAACATTTCGACCAATCACAAGAGTTACAAACAATGGCCAAGAAATGTTCACAATTTTACTTGATCCGCACATACGATTTCTGTGTTACTTAGACTCAGACGAGATTTTGTTATAAGGAAGTTGGATAGAAAAAAAGGGATTAATATACATGCTGCGTTGCGAAGATTTCGTAAAATTTGATGTTTAACCCAATCAGAACCTTAGTAGAGACAATAGTAAAGTTAGCACCTTTTTGCATTCCGACGTGTTCACTGCGTTTTGGTCCTTTCCTTCTTATCTGGACCATTACTTAATGAGGCTTGGGCCCGGCGATGGTTTTCTCTCAGGATCTCTCAGTACAATTTGATTTGTGAGTGGGTGTGCGGATTATGATGAGTTTTCGTCCACATTCTGACAAACATCCCAATTTTTCAATTGAAAAGTTTGCGATCAGTAGCAAGAATTCATTTTTTTCATTAAATGTAGATCCGTTTGACTTTCTTAGTTGTTTAAAAAATGGAAGAGTTCACTAAAGAAAACAATAGCAGTTCTTTAATCAAGCCAGTTCCGCAATAGACCTTTAAAGCTTGCATGTTGTATATGTTGTGGTTCAATTTTATTCTTGGTTTAAATTTTATTTCCCTTTGTTTTTGGGTATGGTAATGTATGATAATGTATGATAATGAGTTTGAAACAAAGGAAAATAAAATTTAAATCAAGGATAAAATTGAACCACAACATATATTTTGCTTTCTGTTCTGTTACCCAAGAGAACTATTTCTTTCAAATGTCCTGATATACACGTGCATCCACTTGAATATGTATGTCTACATAATTTATGAAATGACTAAAGACAAATTCCCTGGAGAACATCACCTGGTCTTAATTTGAAATGTAAAACATACAAGCTGAAAAGATCTATTGGTACGCGATGTTATGACTCCTACTTTTCAGGCCGAAACAATCAAGTGAAACGGACACAGCTGGCTGGGACTGACGCTAAAACGGTCGGCAGTTTTAGAGAGGCCGGTCCGACAATTGCAAAGAGAGGAAAATACTGTATTTGACCGCCGACTTAACTTCAGTTAACTTGTGCCACTTGCTGAACGTCTGACGACGCTCGAAAACAATTCACACGAGCAAACCTTATTTGAATGTAAGCAGTGGGTGCCTCGTTACATCACTGTTACATGTTCACTTAACTCGCGGTATGAAAATCAAAATAAACTTTTCGCTTCACCCTTTCGTCTAGGACCATACCACAGGCAAAACACTAGTACTCGTCTGATCGATCACTGAAGTTAAATACAATCCTGACACTATATTACAATTTTAGGAGCCAAAGTTGAGTGACATTTGATCACATCTTTCCTTGCATTTTCATGAAGTGAATGACAGCATCAATGATGAATGCAACCATAGAGAAGAATCCAAAGGCCTTAGAGGAGAGAAAAATAAGATATATTAGTCTAAGACAGAAAATTTCGAACTGATGTACGAACATTCTCCATAGGAACAGACAGAGGCCCCTACAATATTGGAGTCTGGATCGAAAATTAAGGAAGGCTTAAAAAACTGGAACATGCCTTGGAGGCACAAAAATCACTTCTTCAGCAATTTCCCGTTGCGTAGCATAAACGTTTAACTCAAGAGTTTGTGGTTGCGACCTTAATTCAGTATATATAATTTATTTTTTATCGTTTTGAACCCTTGCATCGGAAATTTCATGGAGCCTAGTAGTCGGACTCAACCCCTAAAAAACGCTCAGCTTTCAGTTTGTATGGCGTTCCGCTCAAAGTGTTTTAACACTTTGAATTAAGAAAAGAATTGAAAGAATTAAAAGTTTGAAAAAATTAAATTTTCTCAAACTGTATTTGCTAGCCAAAATGACCACCTTGGCCTTAAAATGATATTTTTAAGTATAAAAACTACTTCAGCTTGTTGCTAAATGCGAATTAACCCTATTTTGAGCGGACGTTTTTCTGCATCCTTCCTTCCTTTGTATAACTTCAAAACCGCTCAAATGATACAACCACCACAATTGCATAGAATAATGTACTCACACAGGAACCCATAGTTTACTCATCATATCTAACATCTTGGCATAACGTGATTGACTCAATGACGTAATTTGACGTCATTATGACGCTGGAGAGGCGGGGATTTGTAAAGACCCTATCCCCAAGTTTGCATGTCTAGGTATCGGTTTTAACATTCAAGGTACCAAAATTTAAGGTTGGTGATAGTGTTTTGCATTCTCCCATTCCCTTTTGCGTAAAGCCAGCCTGACAAGTCAAAATGTTCAGTGTAACCTTTATTCAGGGGACAACCACCGGACCAAGGTAAGTGTCCCCTGAACAGAGGTGTCCCCTGAATGGAGGTTGGGCTGGGGTTTGTTAATAATTAACCAACAAATTAAATATTTTTCTTCTATTCTACCTCAGCATCTGCTGCAGTCATTATTTCAAACAGCTAGATCATGTATAAAAAATCCTGATTAATTTATCTCGGCGAGGCAGTGTGTGTTGAATTCCAACAAGTGCAATACATCCATTTAAGTGAGATAGTGCATGCTTTGAAAGCTATCGCCATTGCATTATGCCGACTCGTGTATACTTAAACTTGTCAATGATTTCAGTTGTGGTCAATAATAACTTTTTGAGTGCTAAGGAACCCGCTGCGCTCAATGAAAGTTAAACCCAGGTTTCGGGACCCAGTAAAAAAGTCCCTTTCTCCTGAATAGAGGTGTACGTCCCTTCAATAGACTTAACAAATACAAAGATTAAGTGAACATTTTACCGGGCCCAAATTTTGGGTCCCCTAAATAGAGGTGTCCATTTAATAGAGGTGTCACAATAAAGGAAAGGTTTCGCACTGTAGTTTGATTTTCCTACATACCGCTGCTGCACTCAGCTTATCTACTGAAAAACCATATGGGCGTAAACCGCCATAAATGTAGTTCCATTTCCTGGCATCATCAGCTATCAGAGATGAACTGATCAAAAGAAGCACTGCCACAACAGCATCGAAGATCATCACCTACAATGCAATTTCAAGAATGTAACAGCGTTTAACGAGCTGTGTTTTGGTTTCTACGGGAACTAGGTAGACTAGGTATCCAAAAATGGCAAACTGAATACCCAAATCATCGCGAACAACAGTACGCTGCCTTTTATTCCTGGCGTAAAAATATGCCTTCCTGAGTTTGGGCATGCGCAGAAAGCAGTGGCATGCTAATTCTGTTTACCAGCCTGTGGCAGGCGTTCAGATCGTGGGGACGTCGCAAAAAGATGTGAGCAGCAAAAACAGCGAGGGTGTGACGTCTTTCCTTCCTTTTTTAACCCTCGCTCTCTGACTTCACGCGGCACTCGACTATCTGAACGCCTGCGGGACTTTTTACGGGCACTTCCTCGAGGTAACTGTAAATGGCCTTAACAATTTGGTAATTTCGAGCAATATAACTTGTTGCTTGTATCGAATATGTAATGAGAAAAGTCTTTTAAACTTTTGGCACCAATGGGGGATCTTGTGACGAATTTAAAGTTACAGTGGACCACTCAAAATGTCGCTACAGAAACTTAGTACTATTATCGTCCCAAGTGCCGTGAGCAGGTGTGTGTTTCCAGTTGGTGGGAAAGTTGACTAAGATGATAACACCAAACAAGCTGGGAGATGGGTTATCACCGTATTCGACGATGTAATTATTTTCATGAGACTCTTACCGGCAATTTCCAGTCAATATTGACATTGATCATCGAAATCACGTTGAAGGCAAATAGAACAAATATGGCGATAACCAAGACCCACGAGGTGATGGTGACAAAGAGAAAAAAGTCCATCCTCCCCCAGGAAAATGAACCTTTAGAGCCGGCAGCCAAGCCAAACGCTATCATCAACAAGAACTAAAAGGATAAGAAAAAAAATTACGTCGAAAGATAGTTCAAGAAATACAAATGTGGTGAGGTTGCTTTGGTAACGACTTATATAAAACGATTAGCCCATTTTACCTTTGTCTTTGGTTACCTGGTTTTAGAGTGAAAGAGAGGCAGGAGTTGAGTTTGTTTTGGTGAAAAAAATATTAAATAATAAAATAAAATAAAATAAAATCCAAACAATTTATGAATAGACAGGTATGGAAGGGAGCACTTTTTGCTTGCAGCTAACAACATTTTTCTTCTTCTTTTCTTTCCTCTCAGTCTCTCTCTGTCTTTTCTTTTTGACTTTTTTGTTTGACATCGTGGGGTGTATTTTATCTTATTTCAACACTGTTCCACTAGCTAGTTAAACTAATAAATTTTGTACTCAGTTAAACTCGCGCTTAGCTCTGACTTAGCTCGCAAAGAAACGCTTAATTGCTTGGCTGTTTACATCAGCCTCATCAGTATGGGCATTTCTCTTGGTATGGGGGATGTATAATATACTATCAAGAAGAAACTTACAAATTGAACAATTTTGATTATTCCAGGGATTGAAGTTATGTACTCCATGATAAAACCAATCTGTTCACCACCACCACTACTTTGTTTCTCTGGAGCCTTGTCAGGGTTAGCGCCTTGATTCTCTGGATCCGCCATCTTTTTGGATAAAGGCTATCTAACATAAAAAATGTTAAATGATGTGTTAAATAAGCCAAGTTACCAGTAAACTTAAGGGAGAGTTCTTTTCATAGCTAAGCCGCTATCATGGCAGTGCAAAAAGAGAAGAGGGGACAGGGTTTCAGGGCCGGCAAGTGTTAAAAATTTGTGTGGTATTTTCATGCTTTCTACAATTTACTGAGAAAGATACTGAATTACAGCCGACGGGTAATTAACAAGCGAATACGGAACTGATTGTAGGTTACGGTTTCTTTGGTGATCTGAATAATTTTCTTTTGTTTCAGTAGAATTTTCATTCATTGGCTCAGTTCGATATCGTTAGTTTCACGTAAAAGGAACAATATATATTAAACGAGACCTGGCCAGTTAAGATCTACAGCATAGATATATGCTATTTCTTGCAAATTCAAAACCAACCTGGTAAGCATTCGATCAATTTTCCCGGCCTTTTTCCGCGCTTCTGATCTCTTTTTCCCCCACAACGGGTTCAGGAGAACTTCAAGCTTGGAGATTCAAATGAGATCAATTACACGAGATGTACGTGCTCTGAACCTGTCTAAAACCTGGTTTCAGGCCGGCTTCGGTTTCCTGGTCTCCAGCCGACGGTCTGCAACACGATGGGTATAGATAGACCATCACCACGCCAGACAAGCATGCAAGTCTTTTAGCGATGAGGCATGTCATATTTATTTGACTTGATCGATTTTGATGCGAAAATGGCGGGTCTAGTTCACATGAATCTGGGCATTTGGAAATCTCACAACATTTGTCACGTGACCTAGATTTGTGTGGACGGAACAATGCGGTTTCAGTTAGCGGATTCCTGACTGGTTTTTCACTTTCCATCTAGAATGTAAAAAGAACGGATAATTTGTTAATCGTGTTCGCTCTCTAAACGGTCAAGGCAGATAATTGTACAAATAAACTTGACTTAGTCCACAAATTGGTGCCTCAGTGAATCAGCGATCAAGCCCAGTCGAAAGTAATCGAGTATGAGGTTCGAGATATTGAGTTTGATAACTGAACCTTCGATATTCTCGAAGCTTATGAGATAAACCTCTTCCTTAAAAGCTGGAATAACAGTAATATCTTTACATTTTTACGTAGTTTCAGACGAAAGCAATTAATATACCGTGATTATCCGTAATGAGACAGAACCGAAAACCGTTTTGCAACTTGTTTATCGCAGCTGCAGGTAGCCTACCACGCAGACGTGCAAGTCGTCACGCATTTGTGGGGGAGGAACGCTTGACGAAGCTCCAAGAACGTCTGTTAAGTCCGCGAAAGTTAAGGAAATCCCACTGCAATAAATTGTTTTTACTTTCGAATTTCTTTAACCCGTGTGAGACTTACCATAACTCCACCTTCAAAGCCTTAGGAGGTAAAAAGTGAAGAACCGGTGCGAGAAGGTCAGTAAAGAGGCAATCGAAAAACTTGCGAACAGCTAGCGATTGACGTTATCATGCGTTTTTATTTGCTCTTCCGTTTACTTTGAATTCGAAATATACTTCTTAGCCTTGTTTCGCTAATCGGCTTTATGTAATTAAATAGCCACTGAACACTCTTTGCTTTCTTTGACGGCCAAGTCGAGTTTCAAACTGAAATTGAGTTTCAATTGAAATTGTGCGGAATTAACCCCGGTGGGACTCCGATATGAAAGTGACGGGGATGCTCGTCGGAAAATTAAAATTAAACCCCCGTCGGAGGGAGACCAATTTGGGCATGGCTCAAGCTTAACCTGATCCGCCCTAAAGGAGATTTCTGTGTCGTCAGTGTAAAGACATTTTTTGTAAATTACTTTACGCAGAGCCCTAAGTGATACCTGAATTGGCAAATATAGTGACTTCCTGTCCCAAACACCCTAACTGAGACCAAAATCTGCAATTTACAGCCCTAAGCGAGACGACGAGCATCCCCGTCACTTTTAGATGGGAGTCCCCCCGGGGAATTAGCCTCCTCTTCTTCTCTGTTTCCCCCCAAACTGAGATGCGGCAGAAGTATAAATCGACATTTAACGCGATTTACAGTCGTAGTATTGAGTGTAATTTGTTAACTTAAATTTCGCTGCATTTTTATCCGTTCAAAGCCATTGAAATAATGTACTTATGTTCCAGAAACAACGTTCTTTGTCAAAGTTAATCGCTAAAACACATGGAAATTTAAGCGCAGACAGGAGCCCATCAAATCGATGATTTCGATCAAAATCAATTAAAGGTGATAATTATCGATTGGCAACAACATTTTCCTCTTTCGATTTTCAATGTAATCAATCGATTTTATCGATAGTTATCAATTATTATTAACCAATCTACTTCAGAAATCATTTCATAAATTCTTCAGTCGCCATGGTCTTATTGTCGAGAAGTATGGTGCAGCCGTGCGGGAGATGAGATTAGCAATCCACGCTTGAATTGCACCATCGTATCCTTACATTACGTATTTGTTGCTTAGTGTTGTATTTCAGTTGTTTCTCGGTACGTGTGCGCGTACAATTTTATTTTGAGCGCGCGCTTTATTTGTTTATTTACTTAGGGTCTCTTCATATGAGCCTGGTTGACCGGGCTGGCCCGGTTTCCGAGATCTCGCCTCACCTCTAAATCCTTTGTAAAATTTTCGATGTGTTCACATGAGAGGGCGGGCTGGCTCGGTTTCCGAGATCTCGGTTTTTCCAACCGAGATCTCGGTAAGCGGGCTGGAAATTTTGCCATATGAACACTTCATCCCGGTTACCGGGATGAACGGCGGGATGAATTCTGGCGGTCCGGATGGCATCGTCTTGCATTGCCTGCTGTATTTTCCACATCATAAGCATCCCATTTAACTGCAGTGATACAGCTTTTAGAGTTACCGATGCTAAGATAGGCCCAAAAGTTAAAATTTTTGTGTTTCGCTATGTTTGCTTTGTTTCCTAAATTTGGCGCCAGAACTCGTACCCCATCTTTGACCTTTTCTCATCATGCGGAAACCGGGCTGAAATTTCTCATATGAACCCAAAGCAAAATTCATCCCGGTAACCGAGCCAGCCCAGTCAACCGGGCTCATATGAAGAGACCCTTAAGTGACGTGTACATTTAGTTCGTTTATTAGTATGTGTAATCAAATGGTGACGAGTGAAATTAGGGAATAATTTCACGCGTGTTTTATAAGGATTTGGACAAAACGCAAGTGAAATTATTCCCTAATTTCACGAGTATACCATTTGATTACCTATTAATATCATGGGTGACGAATTACGTTAGCAATCGAGGATTTTTGACTTTTTTATTCTGGATCCTATCGATTGATCGTGAACTCCACTCTCTCAAACGTTTAGAGCTAAAATTTGGCTCAAGTTTTCAGAATTTTTCGACAACATACCTCTAAGAATCCTTCTTGATGTACTCTTTCGTGTGTTCAGGTTTTCTAAAGCGTCTTTTTATGCCCTGACATCTTCATTCATGACATTTTAAAACTTCCACGCCATCTTGAAACGGAGACGTACGGCAGGTTGCCATGGTAATTTAGTAATTTCACATGTGAAATTACAAATTAACGCTGAAATTTTGCGCCAAAATTAAGGAGTAATTCGTCACCTATGTAGCCTGCGAAAACATCCGTTTCTCCTCGCCCTATGATATTAACGTCTTAAGTTTACTTTGCGTTATTTTCCTCGCTTATATGTGTTGTCCGCGACTTGCTCACATGGTCCAAATGGCGTCACCTTAAGCATATTTTGTTCTCTTCTGAAACTCGAGAAGTTCAGTAACGATGACTCCAGTTTCCAACACATTTGTACAACTTACGAAACACTCATGTATAGCTACATTTAAAGCGTGAACATATGTACGCGATATTGGCCGAGTATGACAATTCTTCAAATCTATATTCCCAATAGATCGGTTGCAGTAAAATTATTTACATCAATACAGTGTGTTGCATGTTTACAAATTATGCATTTCGATATCTTAGTTGACATATTTGTATGTCAAATAAGAGCTTAAGAATAGCTTACCTTAATCTTTGCGGCTATTATATCGAAGTGCTTTTGCTATCGATGTCCTATCCCAAAAGAGAATCACCTTAGCTTTGTAACATGCAAAACGAACGAGCAGGATTTATATATGGATGTTTTTTGGGTGGGCGTTGCTGATCGAGCTGCTAAAAGTCACGCACCAGGCGTGATCCAACTTGTTGTATTTTCTCAGAAAAAAAAAACCGGAACTTATTAATTCACACATCCCTCCGCCTCCATAATTTCGTACTTTGAATTATTTCACGCTATTTTGCAAAAGTTGTATGGGTACTGCATAATTAGATCATAGCCTTTACAGTTGCCTTTGCATAGATAACAAACTCATCTGAATCTAATATTAAAAGCACGATTATTCGTGATTGGACCTTCAACATCGACCGATTACCGGAAGTCATGCCACTTCTGCGAAATCAGTTCCGTCAAGTGCAAGCATTGCATGAAACGTAACGTGCCGTTATTACCATGCATTCATTCATAGACGTAACCCAAAACATTATTACAAGGCAGGAGATCAATCAAGCTGTATTGAGCTTTTAGACGATGTCCGCTTTATTAACGTCTGATCAAAAAAGAAAAATGAAAACATACTCTTAAGTAGCAACCATTGAGAATGATGGACCTGGGAAAACAATACAGAAGGCTGCTGCTATTTTCGATTTACCACTAACCCTTGAATAAGGACGGTTGCTTTACTAAATTGTCGAGCTGCTTTTAGTGTTCGGAGTCCGAACAGTGACGCAGCTTTTATTATTTCCAAGTAAAATAGGAAGGTATGTAATTCTAATGTTGTCTGTCTTTTTTCCACGAAGAATTTGCTTAAACACTTCTAACAGACAAAGCACTGACAAACAGTTATATCAACAAATGATCGTCAGTTGAAGCTTAACCTCGTTCCCAGGAGGGATTAACCCAAGAACAGAGCCCTGGAAACGAGGTCGAGTTGACGCTCTCGTTACGACCAATATTCTCATGTATTCTGAAAACCCTTTGATCTCCAAACTAAACTTGGGTGACTGCAGGGACCACTTTTGCGAATTATCGGCTGGTCTTTTCCTTGTTTTATGGTTCCCGCAAGCGATCACTCTGTCAAGATTAAAATTAATCATCTCCAATCTTGATCAAAGTTAGAAGTAACATAAGGGTTGAAAATCAGGCTACGCTTGGTTGGCGGACTCTAAAAGAAACGCCGGGCGCGGCAGGTGCAGCATGCATGATCACGACACCGAAATGACGATTATCGTCATTTCTTCTTTGGCTTCAATATGACGTCATTTTGAGGACCCTGACCCTAACCCTAACCTTAACGATAATCGTTATTTCGGTGTCGAGATCATGTTGGCGGGTGTGGGAGGGAGGCCGCTGGGGTGGGGAGCAGGTGCTGTCATCCCCTTATTTACCCAAGGTATGTCTTGAGACTTAAACAGCGTATAAACTTTTACTATTTAGCGTCATTTCAGGGTAATCTGGAAAACCAAGAATCCGGAATTCAGCCGCGATTTTGCAGACCTTTTAAGTAAAGTGATCGCTGTCAGCGCCGCTCCAAAGATTTTCTGAAGGTTGCTGAAGTCGCGACGATCTTCGAAAAAACAAACGACTAAGGACTGCCCGAGATCATCTAAGGGGCCTTTTTCCTACGTAGGGTAAGCATTTCAGGTTACTTTTATCATAAACAGGGTCAAGTTTTCAACCCCTCGAGGAATACTGGACATGGCAGGACAGGGTTTTCAAGAATTTGTTTTTGCAATTAATGGCTTAGTACGTTGCACGAATTTTTTGAATGGGGTTCCCCACCCCCAAGTAACCTAGTAAAAACAGCCTGTGTACAGACGCTCCTTCCCCTAAAAAAAATCGGGGAGAGAGACTCTCTCCCCGATTTTTTCTAAGGGGAGGAGGGCGTCTGTACACAGGCTAAGTAGGAATTACATGAAAGGTTTTGCAACGTCTGGAAAGTCATTTTGTTGACTGAAAAACACTGGGATTATTTTAGTTTTCTGAGCAGTCGAGTTGCCATTAACACCCCTTAGGAAGACTTGAATCCGGACATCGAACAACTACGGCATCGTCTAGTGCATAAATTTCACACCGCAAACCACTCTAAAAAAAACTTATGAATGCAAAATAGCATACGAGTTACAAATCGTTTCAAAATAACATGACTTAGCCAGTTCCTTTTCTAGCAAGGTATATTTTATTATGCATCAGATAATAACTACATCAGTTTCGTTGTCTGGCTATTATTCTACGCTATGACAATTATAAAAACTAGGAGTTAAACCATTTTTAGAGTGACTTTGTTCATTTACACGTTATTTAGGTGTGCGATAGAAAGCCTGTGATGAGTATAGTGGATTAAGAAAATGGCAGTACAAGTTGCTTGTGACAAAAAATAAATAAATCCAGTGGTTTGACCAACCTCGTTCCTAAGATTGTGTCCTACTCGTTCGTGACGCGAGAGAACCCTGGGAACGAAGTTACGTCTTAACGAGGCTTGCGCCATACCATGGTTTTCACTCAGTACAATTTGTTTTGCGAGTGGGTGTACCGATTATGATGAGTTTTCGAGCACTTTCTGACAAACATCACAATTTTTCAATTGAAAGGTTCGCGACCAGTAGCAAGAATTCATTTTTTTCATTAAATGTAGATCCGTTTGACTTTTTTATTTGTTAAAATGGAAGAGTTCACAAAAGAAAAAAATAGGAGTTCTTTAACCACGCCGGTTCCGCAATAGACCTTTAAAGCTTGCTGTATATTTTGCTCTCTGTTACCCCAGAGAACTGTTTCTTTCAAATGCCGTCATATACACGTGCATCCACGTGAATATGTATGTATACATAATTTATGAAAAGACAAAAGGCAAATTCCCAGGAGAGCATCACCTGGTCTTAATTTGAAATGCAAAATATACAAGCTAAAAAGGTCTATTGGTACGCGATGTTATGACTCCTACTTTTCAGGCCCAAACAATCAAGTGAAACGGACACAGCTGGCGGGGACTGGCGCTAAAATAGTCTGCGGTTTTAGAGGGGCCGGTCCGACCGTTGCAAAGAGAGGCAAATATTGTATTTGTCAGACCGCCGACTTAACTTCAGTTAACTTGTGCCACTTGCTGAACGTTTGACGACGCTCGAAAACAATTCACACGAGCAAACCTTATTTGAATGTAAGCAGTAGCTGCCTCGTTACATCACTGTTACATGTTCACTTCAGTAACTCGCGGTTTGAAAATTAAAATAAACTTTTCGCTTCTCCCTTTCGTCTAGGACCATACCACAGGCAAAACACTGGTACTCGTCCGATCGATTACTGATGTTAATTACAATCCCGACGCATAATTGTTCTTTCTGCACTAGGCCTGTTCTCCTTTCATCACACATTTACCACAAGAACTAGAAATACCTAAATAGGAACAAATATGTCATAACAGTTGACCAATCAATTTTAGCAGCCACAGTTGGAATGAGTGACATTTGATCACATCCTTCCTTGCATTTTCATGAAGTGAATACCAGCATCAATGATAAATGCAACCATGGAGAAGAATCCAAAGGCCTTAGAGGAGAGAAAAATAAGACATTAGAAATATAGTCAAAGACAGAATATTTCGAGCTGATGTGTCTGTACGAACATTCTCCATAGGAACTAACAGAGGCCCCTACAATATTGGAGTCTGGAAAATTAAGGAAGGCTTTATTTTTTAAGAAACTAGCTAAAACCTTGGAATGCCAAAAATTACTTTCAGCAATTTCCCGTAACGTAGCATAAACGTTTAACTCAAGAGTTGGTGGTTGCGACCATAATTCAGTATACATGATTTTTTTTTTAATCGTTTTGAACCAGCTTGCATCGAAAAATTCTTAGAGCCTAGTAGTCGAACTCAATACTGTAAAGCTTAAGTACGCTCAGCTTTACATGGCGTTCCGCTCAAAGTGTTAAGAATTAAAAGTTTGAAATAATTTCAATTCTATCAAACTTTATTTTCTAGCCAAAATGACCACCTTGGCCTGAAAATGATATTTTTAAGTGAATTAGTACCACTTCAGCTTGTTGCTATAAATGCGAATTAACCCTATTCAGAGCAGACGTTTTTCTGTTTCCTTCTTATCTTTGTATAACTTCAAATCCGCTCACAAATGATACGACCAACACAATTGCATAGAATAATGCACTCACAGGAAACCCATCGTGTACTCATCATATCTAACATAGCATAACGTCACTGAGTCAATGACGTAATTTGACGTCATTATGACGCTGGAGAGGCGGGTGTTGGTGAATACCTTAACCCCAAGTTTTCATGTCTCGGTATCGCTTTTAGCATTCAAGGTAACAAAATTTAAAGTTGGCGTTGTTTTGCATCCTCCCATTCCCTTTTGCGTAAAGTCAGTTACATGTCAACATGTGCAGTGGAACCTATATTCAGGGGACACCCTTGGGACCAAGGTAAGTGTCCCCTGAATATAGGTGTCCTCTGAATAGAGGTTGGACAGGGATTTGATAATTATTAACCAACAAATAAAATATTTTTCTTCTATTCTGCCTTAGAATCTGCTGAGTCATTATTTCAAACAGCTAGATAATGTATAAAAAATTACGATCAAATTATCCCGGCGACGCAGTGTGTTGAATTCCAACAAGATTATGATGTGATTTTACCGGGACCAAATCTTTTGTCCCCTGAATAGAGGTGTCACTAAGGAGAGGGTTTCACTGTAGTTTGATTTTCCTACATACCGCTGCTGCACTCAGCTTATCTACTGAATAACCATATGGGCGTAAACCGCCATAAATGTCGTTCCCTCTCCTGGCATCATCTGCTATCAGAGATGAACTGATCAAAAGAAGCACTGCCACAACACCAGCGAAGATCATCACCTACAATGCAATTTCAAGAATGTTACAGCGTTTAACGAACTGTGTTTTGGTTTCTATATGAACTACAATAATTGTAGCTAACCATAAGTGGCAAAATGTGTACCAAAAACATCAAGAACAGTACGCTGCCTTTTATTCCTAGCGAAAAAATATGCCTTCCTGAGTTTGGGCATGCGCATAAAGCAGTGGCATGCTACTTCTGTTTACCAGCCTGTTGCAGGCGTTCAGATTTTGGGAACGGCGCTAAAAGATCTGAACAGGAAAAACAGAGAGGGGTGGCGTCTTTCCTTCCTTTTTTTTTCCTCCTCGCTCTCTGACCACTCCACTATCTGAACGCCTGGACTTTTTACGAGCATTTCGTCCAGTAAATGGCCTTAACAATTTGGTAATTTCGAGTAATATAACTTTGTTGCTTATTTCGAATATGTAATGAGAAAACTGAGTTTTTAAAGCTTTTGGCGCTAATGGGGGATCTTGTGACAAATTTAAAAATTGCAGAGCATGACTCAAAATGTCGCTACAGAAACATACTGTTTGTATAATGTACCAAGAACAAGAAGTCCAAAGACTACCGCAAAGCAAAGCTGATTTAAAACAACGTATATTGTTTTTTATAACAATATTTCGGCTGGCCATACCAGCCTTCTTCAGGTTTACAGATGTTACTGAACTTATGTAGCAATCACAATATTATATAAATGGAGAATGTCGCAATAAAAGGGAGAGGCGGAAATGACGTACAACATAAAAACTGGGAAGGAAAAATACTAAGGATATGGATTACAATAATTCGTCACGGCGGTTTTTTGTATTATGTAACCGTCCCAAGTGCCGTGAGCACGTGGTGTTTGCAATAGGTGGGAAAGTTGAATAAGATGATAACACCAAACAAAGGGCTGGGAGATGGGTTTAATATCACCGTATTCAACGATGTAATTTTTTCCATGATATGAGATTCTTACCGGCAAGTTCCAGTCAATATTGACATTGATCACCGAAATCACATTGAAGACAAATAGAACAAATATGGCGATAACGAAAAGCCACGAGGTGATGGTGACAAAGAGGAAAAAATCCATCCGCCCCCAGGAAAATGAACCTTTAAAGTCGGCAGCCAAAGCAAACGCTATCATCAACAAGAACTAAAAGGATAAGAACAAAAAATAAGCTACGTCGAAAGATAGTTCAAGAAATACAAATGTGGTGAGGGTGCTTTGGTAACGGCTTTCATAAAACGAAAGCAGATTTTACATCTGTGTCTTTAGAGTGAAAGAGAGGCAGGAGTTGTGTTTGTTTAAAAAAGGTAAAATAAAATGAAAAGAAATCCAACAAACTTGCGATTGTTTGGAGACCAAATTCTGTTTTCCTGCAACGTTTTTTATAGCTCAAAGGGTTTAAACGTCAAAGGGCTAGATAGGTTGCCTTGGAAGGGAGCACTGTTTGTTTGCAGCTCACATGGCTAAATCATTTCTATTATCTTTCTCTTTTCTTTCCTTTCAGTCTCTTTTTCTCTTCTTCTTCCTCTTTTTTTTTTGCTTTTTTTGTTTGACAACGTTAGTGAGGTGTATTTGAATTTATTTTAAAACTGTTCCACTAGATAGTTAAACTAATTTGTACTTAGTTAAACTCACGCTTAGCTGACTTAGCTCGCAAATAAACGCTTACGGGGAATTTCTCTTGGTATAGGGGAACTTACAAATTCAACAATTTTGATTATTCCAGGGATTGAAGTTACGTACTCCATGGTAAAACCAATCTGTCCACCACCACCACTACTTTGCTTCTCTGGAGCCTTGTCAGGGTTAGCGCCTTGATTCTCTGGATCCGCCATCTTTTTGGATAAACGCTATCTAAAATTAAAAATGTTAAATGATGTGTTAAATAAACCAAGTTACCAGTAAAATTAAGGGGGAGTGCATAGTTGAGCCGCTGTAGCAGTGGAAAAAGAGGAGAGTGGACGGCGTTTCAGGGCCGGCAAGTGTTAAAAGTTTATGCGGTATTTTCATGCGTTTTTACTTTACTCTTGACTATCATTCTCTATTTTTGAAGCGATTGAGATATAGAGGATATTACATGGCCCGGCGCGGAGATACGAAATTTCTCTTCGAGTGTTGAAATATTTTTATTCTATTTATTATATAAACACCAATGAAATACAAAACCATTTCACTTTAAAAGTTTTTTGGTGTGAAAGGCGCGATTTATTATGAAGCCATAGCAACGGTGATATTTTCACATGTGAAGATAACATGTTATTTTCACATGTGAAGATATCAAGTTTTCGCGCGAAAACTCACCTGGTATTTCATTGGTGTTTATATAATAAACCGAATTACAGCGGACGGGTAGTTAACGAGCCAATAATTAAATGATTGTAGGTTAGGGTTGCTTTGGTGATCTGAATAATTTTCTTTTACTTCAGTAGAATTTTCACTCATTGGCTAGCGATCAGTTCGATATCGTTAGTTTCACGTACAAGGAACAATCATTATCAACGAAACCTAGCCAGTTATGATCTAAAGCTGCATTAGATAATTTAGGCTATTTCTCAGTTGCGAATTCAAAACCAAGCTGGCAAGCATTCGATCAATTTTCCTGGCGTTTATTCACTCTTCTGATCTCTTTTTCGCTTACAACGAACGCATGGATTACCGAGGGAATTTTCGTGTTGTGAGGGGAACGTCAAGCCCGGAAATTCAAGCTTGGAGATGCATGAGATCAATTACACGAGATGTAAGTGTTGTGAACCTGTCTAAAACCTGGTTTCAGGCCGGTTTCGGTTAATTCCTGGTCTCCGGGCGACGGTATGCAACACGATGGGCATACATCATGACCACAGATCAGACAAGCGAGCATTTTGTAGTTTATTAAATTACAATGAGACATGCATGTCATTAGCCTGTGCCAGGCTCTCAGATAGTATAGTGGGAACGTATTAAAACGAGCAAAGCGAAAATAAGACGCGCACGACTTGGGAAAGGGGCCGCCCTGTCTCTCCCCAGCCCCCGCGCGTTTTTCGCATCTTTTTTTTCTGAACGACTTTTCACCGCTATTTCGGAGCCTGGAACAGGCTAGCATGTCATGTTTGTTTGACTTCAATTGTGGTGCGAAAATGGCGGGTCTAGATCTCGTTCACACGGATCTGCACATTTTTGAAATCGCAATTTATTACGTGACCTAGATTCGTGTGGACGGAACAAGGAAATTAAATGCGGGCTCGGTTAGCGGATTCCTGACTTGAATCATATGCTTGAATCGTGTGGCCTTGGCCAAACTCAGACCATTATCCTAGAGGATCCGTTCCAGATCAAATGGAAAATTCATTGACTTAAGAATCAAATTAATTGTAACATTTCGGCAACCTCAATTCTACTGCGCTGTAGTTCAGAAAAAGTTAATTTTCGATTTTTTTTAAGGGGTTGGAGACGTGTGTGTGTGTGCCAGGGAGTTCAGAAAAGAGACAAACAATGTACCTGAAATGCTTTCATTAAAATCTGTCGATCACTGATTGACGTTTTACATTTTTTCTTACGGCCAAACAATAATCGAATGCTACCTTGTTTTTGAGTCAAATCATTACACAGGCTCAGTGATAAAAGGGATTACCCGTTCAAGCCCAGCCAATTCTCCAGCATTTCTCTTGATAACAGCAAAAAAGTACGACTTAAAACTAAAAATTTTGAAACATAAATATTTTTGTAGCATTAAAGAGTTGGCAAAGACCATAACAACTCCGTATTAGTATGCATAAAAACAAAAAGTCTTTCAAGTACTAAACAGTTTAGTGTACACTGCAGAAGTCATGAAAGCGTAGAAGCGGTTGAAATAGAAATTGCAGTGTTTCCACGTTTACGAAAAAAAGGACGACACTCGCTTACTTTTTCTAAATAAACGGCCTGAAAATACAATATGTTTGGCGATGTCCACATTAAACTGGCGTCTTAAAGAGTCAAATCGCCCGCTCAGTTTCTTCTTTATTTGATTATAACTTGTTTTCGGTCGGAATGGTCAGCATCGATCGACAACTTAACTCAAAACACAAGAAAAGGGGGTACACTGATGGCGTTTTACAAAAGAAGAACTGACAGAAATAAATATAAAATCACAAGTACGATGTTAAAAAGAGTATAAACCCAGGCTGGGGCCAGAATTCAAACTCTAGAAGCGAACGAACCAAACCGTTTACGGTTGAGCAACTAAGCATCTATCACTATAAATCGTACGCGTGTAGCTGTGCAAGACCTGAAGCTCAGACTAATAAACACTAGTTTGTACTTACAGTGCTGTAGCGTCTTGTTCCTGATAAGAAAGTTCCGAGAAAATCTTGAAGATGATTGAAAGCTGAGAGATTGACTCGAGAAACCAGATGCTTTGGTCGCTAAAATTATATTGTTCACGAGATTATCATAAAGTAACACTATCAGAGGAACGCCTACTTGCGCTTTATACGCTTACTTGCAGCGGTGGTATGGTTGAGAGTGACTCAACCGTGGACGAGTAAAGACTACACAAAATATCGTAAGTACTAAGATTTCGAGGGGCCTTAAACGATCGAAGAAAAACAATCGCGCCTTTTTAGACTATCAAATAAATAAATGCAAATTTTAGTATTTTTCTAACTAATGTTTATTCATGACCCAAAGGATGGTATACTGACAGAACAAGATGCATTCATTAAGTTAAACATGAATGATATTTCAATAATTTATCAGCCTACATTAGTTTTTTTGTTTTTAAAGCATTTTAAAAGAATGAATACTATATAAAGATGGATTAAAATAGCCCCAAGGCAAGAGCATTTTTTTGTCATGCTGCTCGGTTTTGGCCGACAGCGATATGCGCCTCAGTTTCCGAAGAATTATCCGGTCTAATTAGTGGTTGTATTTTCTTTTTTAATATATACACTAGTCTTCACCAGAACATCAACGGGAATCTTTTTAATGGGCCTTAATTTGTCGTGGGTCCTGCCACAATAAGATAAATTGATCCTATTGTTTCTTAATAAAAACGAACCTTTTTCTATTAATACTAGTCTAACCTGTGATCGGGATTAATTTTACTCTGAGGTTATTTTTTTCTTGTCTAATTCCTAATCGTTCGCTGCCTCGCGAGCTTTATCAAACCGTAAGCACGGTTTATTTCATCCTAGGTACCTCGAAAACGGACCTATGGAGCCAGGGTAGACTAATTTTATTTCGCTATCTTTCGGTCGCTCGCCGCGAATGCGGCTCAAGTGAATGCTCAAACACAGTGTAACGAGCTGGGGCCTGCTCGCCTGTTACGTTAGAAGCAACTTTCCATCGATCTTTAAGCCTAGACTTTCTTACACTGACAATTATGAAATAGAAGCTTTCTATAAAAAAATTAAGCCCTATTCTTTTGTTAAAGTTGTCACGAGCTTAACTCAACATTGTGACGCAAAGCCCTCCACCGCCAAACTCCCTCCCGCACAAAAGAGCTTGTTTGTATTATGGAATGATAAGACTAAAAGGGATTAACTCTAGAAATCACTTGTTTTGCCTTTCATTGCATTGCAATATCTAGAAATCTGCTTGAAATAAGATATCCCGATGTATGCAGCGTATGAGTGGCCCCAAAATCACGGTACACTAAGAGATTTGCAACAAAAATTTTGCGTATTCTTATTCCGGAATATGGTCAATCGAACGCATGCTTAATGAAGTAAGTAAGGGAATTTCCTAAAAATAATGAACAAAAGTGCCGTGTTTTGGCTTGAGTTCCTCAGCAAACGTTTCAGGCCTGGCCTTTCATCAGTGGAGTTACAAGTACCGGTAAGAGTCATTGAAAGGTTTGCATACGTCATGCATATATGACAATGTCGGAAGTGATTGTTTTAATCTCGATAGCGTCAGATATTGCATCGCAAAAGGGAATCTGGCAAGAGTACTTAGTCTATTGAAACTTCCTCTTTGATACTCTGTCTCCACTCACGAACACCAGTCAGGCCCAATATAACAAGTGTGGATGGTGAAGCTTCATTTTCCTCGCAAAGTCGCTCGTGCTCCCCTTCGTCGAGGCAGTTGCCTGATTCCCTGACAAAAAAAAAACAGCTCTCTGTAACACAGGACAAATTCACCAGCAATATCTTTACGCCAAAATTTGAGGAAAAACGACTTAAAGCAAATGGTATGGAAATTTCTAGTACTGTATACAGGAAATCTAAGACATTCAGGTGTAATAAAATTTCCTAGAAACCGAATGGAACGCGGATTCAAAGTTAACTTTTCCGGATTTAATTTTCAAAACTTTAGTCAACTAGAAGTTGTCTCAGTCTGATCCTTTCCGGAATCGTGGAGCCAAAATTGATAAAGTGGAACCACAGAATTGTCCATAATTGGAGAACTAACTAGTTTAGTTTTGGGTTGGCCCGGTTGTGTCTTCAGTACCTCTTTGTCGAAGCAGAGAAACAACAAACAACAAGTTTGAACATTAAAAATTTCAAAAAATCGACCACAATTTTTGAACAGGGTGACCTCATTGGATGTCTTATCCACAACTGAGAGCCTCGTCGCTGGTCAGGCTTTTACTGTCTTCAGCAACTGAGGAGTAATAACACGGACTCCAGGGACGACTTATCAAGGAGGGCAAAAATCAGACAAAGGGACGAGGTGACGTTGCGATCATTGCCGTTTAGAGATCTTGAACTTTCAACGTCTTGTCATGATGTCTTGTCTTGTAATCAAGAAAGTGGAAAATATTAAAATGCTGGGCTTAGCTCCTTTCGAAAATGAGAGGGAAAGGCCTGGGGACGAGGTTTCTCAACCACGTGATATTTATTATGCTTGCTCCGCCCTTTTTGGGACCCTCTTTTTTAAAAGCAGTTCAAGAAACTACGAGCGACAATAACTTTGAAAGGCCAGATAAACAAAGTCAAACTAATCTAAACTTTACACTGCGTAGCTTTGAAAAATGTACAGCTTTATTCGAAACATCACTAACATCTTGTTTCCTCAGTATTTACTGTTGCTTTACTATATATCCCGATATAAACTACAGTACAAAATTTAATTTCGACTAGGCTAGCAACTTTAAGACACCATGCGATAGAAAAATCTTATAAACCTCCAGACAATAAAAAATGACTTTACTCAGTTGACTTTACCATATTCTATAGTCTCGTAAACGTTTGGCCAGATTTCTAAATACGCGACAATATACAGCAACATCTTGCCAATTCAGTGCCCCCATTTCAATTTCTACAACGTTTTTGTTGCCTCTATTGTTAAGTGAATCAAAAAGCATCAAAGAGAGCGCGACGTTACGTCATGAAAATAAAAATGGTGACGCGTGGGACATTTGAAAACCAAAATAGCCATATTTATGTTAACTATTTTATACACCAAAATCAAATTATCGATATTTGGACCACTTACACTTAATTTCAACTAAATAAATAAAATGGACTTTCTATAACAGTATATATCACTAATTCGCTAATAAATACCATTATTACCTTCAGATTTCGAGGGGTCAAAGTTTACAAACAGGGCACCCAGGCTCACAACCCAGATTATGAGGATTTGCATGGGAAGTTATCGTAAGTTCGATGACAGTAAAATGTACTTTAACGGCCGTTTAGGTGTATTTTCACTGTTTTATCGAAGTCACGATTAATTCCAATAAAAATCCAATAGTATAAAGGCCTCGAGAGTCTGGTAAATACTGGGTACCGTGTGGTAAACAGTTTCATACCATACACAGGAAAACAAATTCGGAAATATACTTATGAACACTAAGCAAATTAATTGGGCAGGCTTGGCGATCCACGAGTTATAAGAGAGCAATTATGTCAGTTTCTTTTCGACTTACACGTATGTTTTTGATCGTTTATTCGCTCATTTTGTTCGCTCGTTGCCGAATCCGGAAGAACTGCTAAATGTTTCAATGACGCGGAATAAAGCGAGCAAGTATCTTTTGTACAACATTTTCAACGCTTCCTTCTAAGAAAGTCGGAATAATTTAAAGAATGACCACTGAGTTTTACGTTGGTTGAGGAGAAAGTACAGCTTAATGAGTAATACCCTATACTCAGCGTCGTGCTCTTAAACCTTTCAACATCAGCCGATACTGCCACAAACTAAATATGATGTCAATGATGAGGAATAGGACAGCTGCAAACGCCATTACCTGTGGAGAAAATATAATTCAGCTAAGGATTAATCTTCATGCAAGCACTTGCTTTCTAAAGTTTACTTAAACTAGATATTTATACTACTGACGAGGGACGAAAAGACGTCTTTTCATAGAGAGATCGCCTTTTCATAGAGCGATTTCCCCATAGGACACTCCTGGTAAACTGTTTCGCTTTTGCTGGCCTCGAGTATTATTGGCTGGTTTCTGCCCTGTAAAGGGAGACAGGTATCTGCCTTTTCAACTCAAAAAGTCATACTTAAAGGCTTTCCTTCATCCGATAGGCTT